GTATAATAGGCACTCAGTTATTTGAATAAATGAATTTAGGAAAGAAAGAAAGGAAGAAAGAAACAAAGAAAGAAAGAAAGAAAAAGAAAGAAAGAAAGAAAAAGAAAGAAGGAGGGAGGGTAGGAGGGAAGAAGATTAAGAGCTTTTGATAGGATAATATAGAGATAACTGAATTATCAAGAGTGGTTATTCTGACTCACCCTTAAGGTTTCTTCCAGCTCTGTCTGTGATTCTAAAAAATTGTCAGCTGCTCAAGCCTAATTAGACTTATTTAAATTAAAATTAGTTTAAAATACCAGACATCTTATTGTAAGGAAACTTTATCTCAAAGTAAAAAGTAATTGTATGACCTATTAACATCTTAAATTGTTGGGTTATGCCAATCAAAAGTTAGTAAGTGAAGATTTCTTTTATACCATTTAGTACCAACTTGGAAATAAATCATACCTACCCTATAGTCACTGAGTGTTTTAGAATAGAAGTGATATGTGTATGCTCATGTGTGTACATATATGTGTGCTCATGTGCATACATATCTATGAGTAATATACCATTGTATCCCCTGAAGTGAAGCAAATAGAGAATCTTAACTTTATGAAATGAATAAAGTAAAAGTGATTGCTATGTCTTCAGTAAAATCCTCACAGTTACAGAACTGTGAAGCTCTCATTTATTAGCACGATTACATCACAATTCTCTATCTCAGAACGAGTCAGACACTAAAGTAGTTCCAATTTAATAGATAAACTCAGTTGTTGCTCCCTGCTTCTCATTGGCATTTTGGTCGAGGTATAGCAGAGCTCAGGAAGATCCTCATTAAGGGCAACTTCCCTCACTTTTGCTTCAGTCACTGTCAGTATGACGGTCACATCTAAGCCAGGGGGCTTAGAAGATACCCTAAGTCTTGCCTACATGTCCCACTATTTTTTTTTTTACCATCTTCACTATCTTCTATGGTGGAAGAGAATCCAGAGATGAGGTACACTTTTATTGTAGAAGCAGCTTTTCTGCTCTGTACCTATTCTGAATATTAAGGCATGTCTGTACTGATAGTAATTGTGCTTTGGCAAAATTGTGAAGATACAAAGTTGTACCTTTAGTTGTCCCTTTTGAGTGCTTCTTTCTTCCTTTTAAGTTTCTCAGTTCTTAGTATCTCTATAATTCTTGGTTGTCCAGGATCCTCCACATGGACACTCTCCATTCTCTGGAGCATTCCATAATCCCTGTCTCACCCACTCCCCTTAAAACTTATCTGTACTGAGAACTAGTCTTTTACTGCCTTTCAAAATAACTAGCTAGATAATTTGATCACTTAATTTATGATGATCATGTTAATGGATAATACCAACTAGGATTGAATCATGGCTCTACTACTTCCTTCCAGTGTGCCTCTGGGCGAGTTATTTAACTTCTTTTGCCTGAGTTTCCTCATCTGTAAAATGGAGATAATAAAAGCACCTGCCTTACAGGGCTGTTGTGAGAATTAAACAAATTAATACATATAAAGTGATTAGCATAATGCCTGGCATATAGTAAATGCTCAATGAATGTTAGCTATCAACAATCATATTTTAGGAGGGAATTGAAGGGTCAGAACTTCAGAGCTTGTGGAAAACCTCTTGGACATGAATTTGCTAGCCTTTATTTTTGCATATATCATGGCTATTACATGGTGGGGGCATTAGGGGTTACTCTCTACACTGTTGTACATTATAGAGAGACCAATGAGAGAATAAGAGTCCACACTATCAGAGGTAAAGCTCTTTAATTAACATAAAACTTGAGTCTTTTTAAGATAAGTAACTTTTTAAAAATGCTTTGCTTTTTATCCCAAGCTTCTCTCAAGCAATGACTATCCTCCTTCACTGGCTGTGCCTGTGCATTCTGACATACCTTAACAGACAAAACTGTGTTCTTGTGCTTGTCCTTTCACATCTTAATGACTGGTATCAAAAATTCCAGGAAAAAATGTATTATGGCACAATGTAATGTGCTGAAGTCATTTTTCCTTTTCATAGAGATCATTTCAGTTATAGAAAATGTACTTTTTAAATATATTAAAATAAATTCAGGCAAGTTTTTAAATTCTATTATCTCTGTTATGACTTAGTTTATAGACAAAATTGGCATGCTTTTAAAAGTTTGAATTTTTTTCTTCAGTCCTTTCCTTTTTCATAAGTGTGGCCCAGAAGATAAACCTACTGTATGAAGCCACAGACTGAAAACAAAAACAAAAAACAGGAAGGAATTCACATAGTTTTATATGATAAAGCCTGGATAAGAGAGAGATCAAATCACTCTCAACTCCGCAGCTGATGTTTGAACTTGCCAGTGTAGAAGGTAATAACACACACTTCATTCTATCTTCTTAATAACTGCCTGTTTGAGACTTCAGTTTTCTGCAATGTGTTGGTCTAAATCTAGTCTTTTGTTTTAAAACATTCAGTTTTTGCTTCTCCTCTTTTTTAACAGCCAATTTTACATATTCATTATATTCTATTTAAAAAATTTTTTATTATGTTGTGTTAATTACCATACATTACATCATTAGTTTTTGATGTAGTGTTCCATGATTCATTGCTTGTGTATAACACCCAGTGCTCCAGTCAGTACATGCCCTCTTTAATACCAATCACCAGGCTAACCCATCCCCCCACCCCTCTCCCCTCTAGAACCCTCAGTTTGTTTCTCAGAGTCCATAGTCTTTCCTGGTTCGTATTTTAAAAATTTTTGATTGAAATGTTATTTTAGCTTTATATTTCTTTTCCTCTTTTCCCAAACGCAGACACCAGCCACTTTGAAATTCCTTGAGTGACCACATATTGCCTGAGCTATTTCTGTCATGAGCTTAAAAGCATCATGCATAAGTCATTCCCTATTTTCTTCTCACTTCCTTTCAATTCAAAGTGTATACTCTCTTGGCAATACAGAATGATACATTTCAACAGAACATACTTTATAAAATGTCTGTTAGACTATTTTTATTTTATAGGGAATCAGATGTTCATGTCTTAAATATTGGCCAATCCTAGGTACTTCTGAATGAAGGTTATATAAAGCATCGTCCAAATAATGTCATCATAGCATGTCATCGTCCAAATAATGTCATCATAGCATGTCATTGAGTTAACTTAATGGTATTGTTATCTTTACTTTTTTTTTTCTTTTTAAACCTTTTGGTATTATTATCTTTAAGTAAATGTTTCAATCCATCCTGTTCCTCAGACCATTTTCAGATATAAAGTATAAGGTAAAATTGAAATTGTCAAGTTCCATCAACAAGTGTTAATTAAGCATGGCTCAGCTCTTTAAATCCACTATAGACTGTAACACTGAGAACATGTATTTTCTTTCTTGATTTCTCTTCCTGTTATTGCCTTTTCATGTATCTTTGTGATTTATAATCTCTGAGCTATTGAGTTTCTGAATATGGCTACTGAAACAACTACAATGTTTGACTAAATTGGGAGAAAATCAAACTTATTTCAGATTTTCCAAAATAAATGGCCAAGGGTAAAATTTGAAACGTAAGCAAAATCTCATGCATTTCAAAACAATTTACTCTTTGCAAGTACAGAATAACTACTTAATCATTTTAAAACTATGAAGTATAAAAATTACTCACTGCATAATAATTGATCTTCATTATTTATAGATTCTATATTTGTGAATTTTCCTCCCTACTAAAATTTATTTGTAAGTCATAACACAGAATCAACACTCACTATGCATTTTCTGTCATTCTTGGTCATGTTCCATGGTGAAAAATTTGAGTCACCAATGTGCAGGTTCGCAGCTGAAGTCAAACAAGTCACCACTTGGCTTTCTTGCTTTAGCTCTTATACTGTAAACAAATGTCCTTTTTGCTATCTATTAGGCAGCTATACTTTCCACACTTCGTTGTGCTTTTTGTTGGTGATTTTTCTGTTTTAAATGGTCCCCAAGCATAGTACTAAAGTGGTATCAAGTGTTTCTAAGCTCTGAAAGGCTGTAATGTGACTTACTAGGAAAATACACATGTTAGATAAGCATCATTCAGGCATGAGTTATAGTTCTGTTGGCTATGAGTCCAATATTAAATAATCAACAAAATATGTTAAATAAGGTATATTTAAACAGAAACACAGATAAAACAAGGATATATATTGATTGGTTTATGTAAATGTGACCAGAGGCTCACAGGAACCTAACCTTGCATTTCCCCTAGGAGCAATGGTTCTATACATTACAAAACATAACTACCACAAATAACAAGAATCAATTGAATTTTTAACCCGAGTATAGTTAGAACTACCGAGAAGTCAGGTACATAACTAAATTAATAAAATGTCTTTCTATACCAAGATCTCTGGGTCATAAGCCCTTGGACTTTTCCATAAAGGGAGTATTGAAACTAGGTTGATTTACCAACTTCCTCAACTTATACATGCTCAGAACACTTACGTTAGCCTACCATTGGACAAAATCATCTAACACCAAGCCTATTTTACAATAAAGTGTTGAATATCTCATATAACTTATTGAATACTGTACCGAATGTGAAAAATAGAATAGTTGAATGTGTATCAGTTGTTTTCCCTGGTGTTCACTTGGCTGACTGGGAACTGGAGCTCGCTGCCACTGCCCAGCATCATGAGAGAGTATAATACTGTGTATCACTAGCCTGGAAAAAGATCAACATTCAAAATTTTAAGTACAGTTTCTACTAAATAAGTATTGCTTTCACACCATCATAATATTAAAAAAATCATAAGTGAAATCATCATAAGTTGGGAACCATTTGTATTTTGATGAAGGTAATTCCTTGTTTTCAGATAATAAAAATGTCTGTGATCAGCACATATACCTCTAACAATGCTTAAAGAGAGCAATTAAATATTCTTAGTTACCTTTTTTTCTCATGGGTAGCTTTATTACATTGTCAGCTGATTCAAATATATCAATACATTGTCAGCTGGCTTTACCCTTGGAATCAGCTACCTTAATATTCCAATACTGCTTTACCCACCTCTTGGTGTCTCAGTTAAGAATGCCTGTCTCAGGATTTCCACCTGGAAATATACCACAGGTGCTTGCTGTTGATGAGATCCCCTCAAGTACAGGTGACACTCTTGGTTTGTCAGTGAGACTGTCCTACTACATTTGACTTGGATTTCCAAATCTGGTATGTGGTAGTCTGTAGTCCATCTCAGGTATAAGTGGTCCCTGGCCCACTCCATCCAGCTGCTGACTGGTCCTCAGATCAGAGTGTCATCTCTAGTAGCTGCTCAACTCCCCTTAGTTACTGTATAAAGAGTAACACAGCAACAACAAATATGTGTTGATTAGATTATCAAAATAATTGTTGCCAATGTATATTACCCCATAGAGGGGAACAAATTTTTAAAAGTCACATCAAAGAGATTTTTCTTTGTCTAGTTTCCTAAATGTGTATAAGATACTGTATGATATAAATAAGGTCAAATGAAAATATAGCTAGATGTGGTTTTTTGTGGCCGTGAGGTGTTTGGTTGTTATTGGTTATCCTTTGAAACCAATTCTGTTTCTTGGGGTAGGAAATGTCTTAGGTATAATGCATTGCTAAATAATAAAACTAATACAATTTACTCTGACTAGCATCTCAATTCTTACAGCACCAGATTTGTAATATATGGAAGTCTATGATATGCTTGACAAGTGTCTTGGATCACAGGCAAACAAAGTAGTGTTCCATCATTTGCTGTTGAAATGCAGCAATACACCCTAAGTAAGAAGGGCTGTGAAAAGAACAACACGACTATTTCTATCATTCTGTAGGCAAAGCACAATAAGTGTTGATTAATGTGAGATTTATTGAAAAGTTATGAACGAAGGAGCCAAGAAGGTGGCCAGCTAGTCATTGCCTAATGTTTAAATTGCAGCACCCTAATGATTTTCACTTTCCTCCAGCACATTTCCTGTATTCCCATTTTAAGTCACAGTGGTAATAGATTTTTTACCACTAAACTTCATCTACTCTTTAGTCATCAGAAGAGCTGCTTATTGGGCACTTATTCAGGTATTTCCCCTAAATTTGTCTTGGTTTATTTCTTCCCATTATGTCTTTTAAATAATAAATGTGATTAGTTGTTTTGTAAGGTTTAATATTTAAAACACTTTTGTAGTTGTTGAAAAGTCAGTTCTTACCACATCCATGAAAGTTAGGCCAGCTCTGTTTTATTGTCTACCTCAGGTGCCTTCCTGTCAAAAATAAAAACTTTATAAACTTCTTTTAATGAAGGACCATATTTTGTATATCCTCAACAGACCAGGGTGTAAGTCTTGAGGACTTAATCCATGTTTAACAATAACTGAGACATGTACAAAGTTACTGCTAAACATATGCTACTTTGAACACTGGATTAGGTCTTATTTTATTAATCTTGTATATAATACATAACAAATTTCCATACACACCTGGGCAATCAAAAGAAAATTGATGACTATGAGTAAGGTAAGTAAAAAACACTCCCTCCCAGATTCAAAGTGATATCTAATTGAGGGAAATTACCTTATCCAGGATTTGCTTATAATAGAAAATATAGCTCCTGAAAGGTTTAATGATACTGAATTGGTACCCTTTTGAACTAAATTACTTCTTCAGAGGGGCACCTGGGTGGCTCAGTTGGTTAAGCGACTGCCTTCGGCTCAGGTCATGGTCCCGGGGTCCTGGGATCGAGTCCCACATCGGGCTCCTGGCTCGGCGGGAAGCCTGCTTCTCCCTCTCCCGCTCCCCCTGCTTGTGTTCCCGCTCTCGCTGTCTCTGTCTCTGTCAAATAAATAAATAAAATCTTTAAAAGAAAATTACTTCTTCAGAGAACAAAATGGTCTCCCTGAAAGAGGTAATTTAACTCAAACATATGAGCACTTTACCTCAAAGAAAGAGTACCAGTTTTCTCTAGGAACTCCATTCTTCAGTTGTACACCCCCCTGCACAAAGAATTGGGCTGCAAACTCTGTCTACTACTGCAAAATATGGCCAGTGTTTTCCTCCTTAAAGTGGCCATATTAGAATGTTAACTCTCTGAGGACAGGGATCTGCTCTCAGTGGGAAATTTAGATTGTGGTAATTAAAATAGTATGCTTATAAAAGGTTTGACATTTCCTGGGGGAAAATTTCCTCATTGCTGTGACCCTAACACAAGTGAGGTAAAAATGACTGACAACCCTTCATAGATAAGGCCTATTTTGGGGAATGGCTCACTCCTGCTCATGAAATTTATTCTCTGACCCCTTGAAAAATAGCAATAGTCCAGATCTAGCTAATCCCTTCACTTAGTCTTCTATAAACAGTTCCTATAAATGCTAATCAAGAGCCTCCCTTGATGTCACATATTTTGTATTATAGACCAACCCTCTGTTCCAAGCACTGTTTTAGATGTGATGCCTTTTGTACAAACATTCTCAAATACTCTTATCTTATGGATTTACTATTTGGACTTTATTTTTTCTTGCACTTTAATGTTGCTCTTCTGCATATTTTAATAAGACATCTCTAAATATTTTTTACTGATGTGGTTGTTTATGCTGTTGCTGTTGTTCAGAAATGGATCTGGCAGAGGCCAGATAAAGATATCACCTATATTTATTTCTTTACCACTCAATATCTACAAGCATTATATTCCCATCCAGGGTATTCACTCTCAATCTGTCCAAGTTAGGCATTACTTTTTGTCTTCCTACCATGTTTGCAACCTGGCAAATCTTTGTTTTTTGTGATGTTTGTAATAATAATAATAACAATAAAACTTAATTCACTATCAGCCTTGAATGTAGTTAATGTACCTCACTTGTTAATAAGGATGTTAAACCAAAAGAGACCTTTTACTAGACTATGTAGCACCTCACTGAAATTTTTCCCTCAATATTGTTAATATCTGAAACAACTCTGATTTTTTTAATATTTTCAAGCTACCTGATATTGTTAAAATAAACTTTCTTCATTTTCTTGGTCACTAACAGATGATTCACTGGTAATCATTTCTTTTTCAGAACTTTAGAACCTATTTTACCACAATTCTGGTTTCTCTGGGCTGCTGATGCCAAGGCTTCTTTCCTTGACCACTTCCTAACACACTCAACAGTGCCAGGTCTTCCTCACACACTCCCCTTCAACTGCACAATGGGCTTCAGTTCAAGAGTGCATTTAATTTATAGATCCATGTGTTTCTATTTGTTTCAATGACCCCACACATTGTTAACTGTAATTTTTGCCATAGTTAAATGTATTTTTCACTTTAGGGCAACTACTTTGTAATTGTTTAACTACAGCCCACATTTACTCCTAAAAAACTGAGCTCACTTTTTCTCCTTTTCAACCTTATAAATTTTCAAGAAAGCCTGCTAGATAACAGAACCTGATTTCAACCTGATTTCATTGTACGTCAGGCACATTGCCTTCTCCACTGGATTGTATCTTTGAAATGGTAGAGCAATGAAAAAATCTACCATGCACATGTTTAATTCATTGGCTGATCTTTAAAACATAGATTTTGTAATTACACTAAAAGTGATCCAAACCTTTGGATATACAGTACAACAATATTTAGACCTATAATAACTCTACACAGGGGTTCATGGTTTAAAAGCATGGTTTGGGTCTTAAATAAATTTATTTCTCTCTCTCTTTTGGCTTCCAAATTCCACTCTACTTGTTGTCCATTTCTCACTCCTGAGAGATGAGACAAATTAACTCCTTACAATTGAAGGGAGCAGGAGACTCTAGGAGAAAGGAACCATTTTTCCAAAATAAGTTTTATTGACTGTGGATCTAAGTCAGTAAACTGACTTTGCTGAGGCAGAAATTATCACAGCTTGTTCCTATAAACCCCTCCTTCTATCCATTGCACTGCCCAGCCCTGAGCACACACCCAGTCCCTGGACATTATATAACTTTCCTTCCCTGTATTATACAGAAACTAATTGGAGAACTGTGACCTCTTTGAGAGTTGGAACCAGGTTGATTAATCTCTGCATCCCCAAGGCTTAACACAATGCCTGGGACATGTGTGGGCACACTGAATAAATGTCTGGACAAGGATCAGTTAAATAATTAATTGAACTTTAAATTTTTCTGATGCTCTTACATTTTTTCCTCCAATCTTAAAACTACAGTTAAGGGTGAATAGAGGGCAAAGCCTCACAATCACACTGGCCTGAATTCCCTCAATTTTTATTCTGTCAAATCAGAAAAAGATAATAATTCTCAGAATGTTAAGATGGACTGGTCCAGTTAGTCTTATCTCTGTTATGGCGTTACTATCTAAATAGAATATGCCTGCATTAACATTTCCATTAAATTATTTGTAAAATTCCAGACTTCCACTCAATGTACTATGATCAATAGGTTACTGAAAAACATTCACAATTGTTTATTGATACTGGCAGAAAAAGAAAGATAAATAGACATACTAAAATTTATAATCATGCCTTCTTTTATGAGCTCTAAATTTATATGACAATATTAGTGAATATCCCTCTACAGATACAATAATATCCAGAAAAAGATTCATCAGAAAAAGATTTTTAAAACATCCTCATTGACAGGAAATGACAGACACATGTAAGTGAAAATTAATTTTATTAGAAAAATAATTGAACTGAATTCCTGTAATTGGATGGTTTTAAAAATCATCACAGTTTCAATTACTCAAAGATTGTGATGGAATTTCATCTTGTGAAAATGCAGGGAGTAAACCAAATTATTTATTTCTTTTAAATGGTGGATAACATGAATAAAAGTATTACTGTGTTATTTAAATCTAATTTAAAAACATAATTTACATGATGAAAATTGCTCTACTTCTTAATCAGAGTCACTCTGGTGGAACTGCTTTAATAAAAGTTTCTCTTTTAATATACAATTTAGCCATCCTATTAGAAAACGAATTCTTCTATCTCCAAATTACAAATTGGTTCACATTTTTAGCCTTTTCTCCAATCCTGAAGTTTGCCTGAGATAGAGTGAAGAGGATGCCACCTGATAACCTCATTGCTTTTAGTCTGCATTTCTGTCTTGCACAATTGTCAACCTTCTATTATGCCAGTTCCCAATCTAGCACCATTATTACACAGTGTGAAAGTGCCAAAAGAAAGAGGTGGAACTGAACATGTTCCAGGCTGCTACCCTTCCCATGGTTTCTCATTCATCAGAGGGCACCCAGCCTACCTCAGCTTCTTCCTGCAAATGAAATTCCTTTCT